GCCGCCCCCCATCCCCCCCCCCACACACACACTGGGACTGGAGGGCAGGTATCGCTGGGCGGGCCATGGAAGACACTGTACCTTGGTAATTTCACAACTTGCATCCCGGCCGGTTTTCTAGGGGCCTCGCTGTCGAATGAGAACAGAGGGTTTTAGCAGGAGAACTTGGCTCAAGTGCAGGGATCAGAGCTGGGGTCCCGGTGGAGGGGGACAGGGCGGCCTGGCGTGTGGCCATGGGCTTCATCTTCAACAAGCCCTCACTGTGGGCAGTGGGCCCGGCGCTGCCTGTGTCCCTGCACGTCTCAGATGTGGGGACCTCGGTGCAGTCGGAGCCGCTGGGCCCCGCGTTCAGCAGACGCTGCTGACTGAGGCTGAGCAGGTGCTGGTTGCAGAGGGGCCGGCACTCGGCCCCTCCCAGCGTGAGGGGCCCCGACCCCCGCCCCGCAAACCACCGGCCTCGGTCCCGTTTCTCACAGATCAGATGCATACGAGCTGATGCCGTGGGCCTTCTGAAGCCAGGTCACCAAGGGCATGAGCCCAGGCTCGTCTCTCTTGGGGACACTGATCTTGCAGCCCCCACCCTGGCTGGTACGGAGGAGCTGGCCCGAGGCCAAGGGCGGGGAGAGAATAAATAGGTCCTGGCAGGGGGCGCAGCAGGTGCAAAGGCCCAGGGTCTGACCGCAGGCTTGTCAGGAGGACAAGAGGCCCCGGGGCAGAGGCGGCAGGCAAGCATGAGGCACACAGAGCCCCCCCCCCTCCCCTGGAGGCAGAAGGTCAGAGGGAGGTCAGAGCTAAAGCCAGACGTGCAGAGTCAGTCCTGCCCAGGTGACCCTTCAAGGTCAGGGACTTGGCCGAGCTGCTCTGAGCATGGGGAGAGGGACGAGCAGGAGGCCCTGACCCACCAATGTGCCACCTGGGCGGGGGCTGGGCCCTCAGAGTAGGAAGCCAGTGCCGGGCTGTCAGGGCACGTGACCCGCCCTCACTCACTCACCCTTCACCTTCTGATCTGGTCTCCAGCTTCGGGATTCTTGGGCTCAGGAACCCCATGCTGTGGAAGAGCCCCCCAAAGGCCCTTGTTGAGGAGCTGGTCTGGGACGGCCTGTCCACCTTCCCCAGGCAAAGCAGAAGGTGAGCCAGGTCATGACCCCGAGCTCCCCAGAGCAGCTGCCCTCGGGCAGGGCCAGGGGCCAGTCTCCCCAAAGCTCAGGTGACTGGTCCCAAGGAGGGGCAGTCCCTGCGGCCAGTGCCCCCATGCGAGCCCCTGCGCGGCTGGAGCAGGTCCCGTGCATGGCCGGCTGGTCCGAGGCTGCCCCAGGGACGGATTCCTGGCAGGGCCCTGCCCCAGGAGAGCAGCCCGCAACCTCACTCCTCGTTCCAGGACCTTCTCCATCTGGGAGCGGCTGACAGCGCGGCTTATGCACTCGCAGCCACACAGCGGGAGGGGTCCTGGCCTCGTCCGACTCCCCACTAGTGACGTGGGGGGAGCACAGCTCACCCACAAGGTGAGGCCTCAGTAGGAGGAGTGTGCAGCCGGGCGGTGGGCCATGAGGCGGCTGTCACCAGTCCCGTCACTACAGTTGTGATCCCGGGGCTGCAGGATTGGGGTGGGGAACAGCAGAGGGCGCCCCGCTGGGATCCGATCGGCTCCTGCTGCTGCTTCTCCCAAGCCCGGCAGACCCAGAGGGTCTCGCACGCTTCTTACCCAAAGAAGACCAGGAGGACGGTGATCAGAAAAAAGGTCAGAGGTCGAAGCGAGCAGCACTTCAATTTTCCTGGAAAACAGATGGGAGGGTGCACAGTCTTTGTCGCCGTTAGTCACACACCGTGTTTTTAAGGTTCTCCATGCTGTCACCCGCATCAAGGTCGTTCCTCTTTTATTGCTGAGCAGCCTCTGTGGAGGTGACACAATTTGTTCGTGCTTCACCTGTTGGTATTTTGAGGCCCCCCCTCCCCCGCATTTGGGCCTGCCAATTTCTTTTTTTTTTTTATAATTTTTATTTCTTAAAGTATTAAAAAGAGTATTACATATGTCTCCTTTTTTCCCTCCCCTTGACATACCCCGGCCCCTACCCCCCTGGTGTCTTGTGTCCATTCGTTAATCTTATATGCATGCATATAAGTCCTTCGGTTGATCTCTTAATCCCCCCCCAAACCTTCCCCAGGCTTCCCACTGTAGTTTGACAGTCTGTTCAATGTTGGTCTGCCTCTGCATCTACCCCTGTTCATCAGTCTATACTGGTCCCCATTATCTGTCCCAACCTCACTGGAGCAGTCCCAACCTCACCGGGGCCGTCTCAGCCTCACCGGGGCCATCCCAACCTCACCGGGGCCGTCCCGACCTCACCGGGGCCGTTTCAACCTCACTGGGGTTGTCCTGACCTCACCAGGGCCGTCCCAACCTCACCAGGGCAGTCTCGACCTCACCAGGGCCGTCTCGATCTTTCCGGGGGCATCCCGACCTCACTGGGGCTGTTTCAACCTCACCGGGGCCATCCTGACCTCACTAGGGCCGTCCGAATCTCACCGGGGCCGTCCCAGCCTCACCGGGGAAACACAAAGTTTGGCCCTCTGTCCCCTGCCGGGCGGCTCCCCACCAGACAAAATCTCTAGGCGTTCCTGGTGGCTGAACATCCAGCACTCCTGC